CGCCCCCACACCCACACCCACATCCACACCCTATACCCCTCCATACTTCTAACAAGATTTTGCATTCTCAAATACCTTTACATTATGAGATGCTAGCTGTGTGAAATGACCGGTCTTAGCTGTACTGTGTACAAGCTTGTTGCCTTAGTCATCACCATCACTGTTTCAAGCCAACAATTATACGAATTGAGAAAGTCATCTATTGACCTTAGTTTTCATGAATTCGCGAGTTCTAACTTCGATTATTGACTTGGAATTGGTCTGTATTAGTTGAAATTGGAATTGAGCAGATCACCATTTCAATTAGTTCCAATCGGAATTTAATGGAAGCGAGACGTTACCTTTCCGCTGACAGTTACTGGGTAACAAAAAATTATTGCATCTCATTCTTTTGTTTTGGTAAGACTATAATATGGAAGTAGTGATTTTCTATAGTTTGACCAAATTAGCTGCAATTAAGGAAACCGACTTGGTAACCACTTTTCCAAATTGTGTACTGGGTTCTTTCACCAAAAAGGAAAAGGTTTTTGGAGAAAATGACAATCTTTTTATAAACCTTGATCACAGATATTCGGGATCAAAGCATCTGATTCTTTAATCAGCTTCTCGGAATTCTATACTTTCCTTCAAAGTCATGTTCTCTACTCTGCATACCTTTGGTCAACCTTTACAAAAGAAATCGATATTTTCCGATAACTAAATTGTCTTGACGAAAGAATCAAATCAAAAAATTTTGGGTGTGGATGTGGGTGTGGGTGAATTATACCAATACCCACTCCCACTCCCACACACGCACACCCCACACCCACACCCACACCCCACACCCACACCCACACCCACACCCACACCCACACCCACTTTTCATTTCTCCTACACTGTTATTAATCATTAACTATAACATAACATTCAGGTATGGCCTTACAAGTGTACCAGCGGTATGATATTGTCTTTTTATCTCAACATCCGCTGGGACCGAAGCTCAGCCATACGGCTGTAGCGAAGGCAGTTCATTGTGACGTAAAGACGGTGAAAAGTTGGTTCAAGCGGTGGAAGCAATGAAAAGATTTGACCGATGCACCTCGATCTGGACGAACACGTGCAACAACTCCAAAACAGGATCAACAAGTTGTTGCACTTGCTGAACAACAAACGTTCGTCACAAGTCAAGACATCACGAACCAGTTGAACAAAAAGGGAGTCGAGATCAGTCAGAGAACGGTACGACGACGCTTGAACGAAGCGGGAGCGAAATATAATCAACCTTTGTCAAAGCCACTACTCACCGAGAACCACCAAGAGAAACGTTTAAAATGGGCTGAAGATCAGAGAACTACGGACTGGAACCAAGTGATCTTTTCTGACGAGACCACCATTAGTATGAATTCCGTCAAAGGACTGGTTTGAAACTTGCCTGGAAAAAAGAAGGTTGTGCGAACTGTCAAGCATCCTATCAAGGTCAATGTTTGGGGTTGCTTTGTAGCTCGAGGTTTTGGTCGCGTCGTATGTTTCAACGAGAATCTAAATGCGGATTTAATGTATCATATTTACAAGTATGACCTCTTACCTACAGCATGGAAACAATTTGGTCATGATTCAACGTTGTGGAAATTACAGGAAGATGATGACCCTAAACACACATCAAAACTGGCAACCAAATGGAGAATGAATAACAATGTCCACAAAATTGATTGGCCGTCGATGTCTCCCGACATTGCACCAATAGAAAATGTATGTCAACTTCTCAAAATGAAATTAAGAAAGAAAAAACTACCAACTTATCAATCTTTAGTTTCGGCAATAAAACGAGAATGGAAGTCCTTATCACCAGAATTGGCTATTAAACTTGCACATCGTATGAACAATCGAATTTCTGAAGTTATTGAAAATGATGGAGACTTTATATTACATTGATGATCATAATGTACTATAAGCTATAACATAATAAAAAAGTTTTCCTCTTATCTCTTCTTTTGGTGTAGTTAGACTAGGGGCGGGACTTTTAGCCACTACTGTATATATAAATATGTATACATATGCCCTATCGAACTTACACTGACCGACACAATTGTAACTTCTACGATGATCTTCATCAACCTTTCAACTTCAACAAATGAACGTTTCTCGAATGTACCTCTAATTCACTTACTACCATGCAATTACCTAGACTCAATGTTCTGTCGTTGAATTCATGTTCTAAAACTTTTTCCACGTAACAGTATTTACTTAATAATAACGATATCTAAATAGTATTCATTTACAAAAACACCTTTCAGATCATACACCAGCCGATATCATTTTCAATTTATAAAACCACTTATTCATAAAATAATTAAAGCTGACTTTGAGAAACATCAACGTCACACTAACAATCTTCCCGCATTTATACTACAATGTTGTAACTTCGTCCACAAGTGTAACTTCAATACAACAAATAACTGAACGAGATATACCTCCAGCACTTGTCAATGAACTATGACCATTTCTCATAAAACCAAAACATTTTCCTACATACAACCATTCCAGCCAACAAAGAAAATACATCCATTTCTCTCTCATTCTTTTCTATTTCTTCTTGTAAGTGGAGATATGGATGAAGGAGTTCTGCTTAAAAAATAACGGTTTCTCACAGCAAAAAAACATTTCTACTCGAAGCATTCCTTAAGACGAAAAAGAAATTATCCATTTATCTCTTACTCTTTTCGATTTCTTCTTGTAAGTGGTGATGTAGATGAAACAATTCATCCTGAAAAGTAACCGTATCTCATAGAAAAAATCCATTTCCACTAGAGACATTGCTATAATAAAAAATCAGAGGCGATTCGTCTCTCTCGAAATCTTTTCGATTTCTGTTGGTGAATGGATGTAGCAGTTCTCTTTGTTATTTTTCGTTGTCTTGTTTAGTGATGTGGTCGCATGAAGGTAGTCTCGTGGAAAAAAAGCACCGGACTTTATGTGGTTTAAGCATTTCTGCTTGGAATGCAACAGTTTTTCTTTGTGAGCGAGAAACGGTCCGGGCCTCTCTGAAAATTGATAATAAGTTATCTTCACTTGCTTAGATTTGTTTCAATCACTTATCGTTCATAAACGACTTTGTGTAATTTTTCCTTTTGCTTTCCAAAATGTTTTATTTTTTATCATGCAAAAGCCGCTGTGGCTGAATAGTTAAGATGTTCAACATATATCCACAAGATAGTGTGTTCGAACCTCGGTTCCATCAAACATAGAATGACCTTGGACAAGTCACTAAATGCCGTTTGTCTCGGTACACCCATCCAATAGCACACCGACTACGTTGTTGACATACACAAAAAGTCTCTGTGGTTAGGGTGTGTTTAGTCAGTATGCATGAGAAACTTAAGAAATTAATTGGGAGGAACTCTACATTAGGTCGGTCTTCTGTCCAGAGCTGCAACTAGTAATAGTTGTCGGGAAAATGTCGAGCCTTCAAAACTGTCTTTGAACAGCACCCTACACTGGAAGGTAGTCGAAAGACAAGGCTATTCTTCTTCTTGTTATCATGCAAGTGCACTATATTTGTTTTTCAAAGCAATGCATTAATCAGAGAAGAACTCCAATCACTAGAATGTACAATTATGTACTAAACATATAAATCTTACCAAAATATTTGAAAGCAGAGATGAAAAGTGCAAATACTCTGTTGACGCCATCGATTCCTATCGATTATATTCAATTTTCGTTCGTGCATAGTGTTTCCTAAAGTCGATCGGTTGCCAACGTCAATAATAAATGATGCAAAAATTTTCGCATTCGAATCTTGGCCATCAACTAAAGTCTGGTGTCTTTGGCGAGTCGATAGTTGTACACAGATGATTCATCGACCTGTTCAAATGACCATTGTCATAAGTGAAGTAGCACCAGTAGAATTCGAACTTTATCTGTCGATTAGTTATGTTTCAACAAATACTAGTTAT